TCTTCTAATTGCCCCTATGCCTGAGCTTTTTGAGGAGGAGGTCCACAGCACAGATGGACGAGCTCCTTTGTAAATTTTAATTTGTACTTTTGCTAGGCTGGAAAATAAGTGCTTCCGACCTTCAAACTGTATTATATCGTCTCTGCCCCCGTTTCTGGAGTCCTTCTTGGCTTCTGCCTTTTCTGGGTCACTTTACCAGAGTTTCAGGAGGAACCTGTGGTGATCACATGTGTTAAACTATCACATGGGAATATAATCAGGACATTTGTTTCTATTTGTTTTCTAAAAAAACACTTAAGAGGCACACACAGAGACAACTAGATAAATACAGACAATAGAAAGACAGAGAAATCCAAACACCCACAATAGCTAGCAATGTCCTGGCCTTTAGCCAAGAGCCCAGCAGGCAACCCGCTTGTCTCCTGTGGCTTGAAGGAACTCAATCTCCAGACATCACCATGCTTCCCATATTCTGTACCAGCATAAAGCTGCAGTCAAGAGCGGGAGCCAGGTATCAAACCCAGGCACGCTGAAATAGGACACAGACAACTTATTCTTTGCTTGTTTGCTTACTTACTTTTCTTTTTAATTGGAAAGGCAGATTAGATTTACAGAAAAAAAGACACAGAGAGGGGTCATTCATCTGCTGTTTCACTCACCCAAATGGCGGCAGTGGATGGAGCTGAGCTGATTTGAAGCCAGGAGCCTCTTTTGAAATCTCCCATAAAGATGCAAGGTTCCAAAGCTTTGGGGCACACTCCGCTGCTCTCCCAGGCCATAAGTAGGGATCTGGATGGAAAGTGGGGCAGCAGGGACTCGAACCAGCACACTTACAGGATCCGTGTACTTACAAGGTGAAGATTTAGTCATTGAGCCATGATGCTGGGCCCCAGATGTGTTCATTAGTGTTAGAAATTGTCTGAATGCCTACTTCTCGGGTTATCTCCATTCAGCTGTAACAATAGTACTTCATCTCATGGCAGCATGGATAGTTCTAAATTATAGGCAAAAGATCAAACACAAACATTAATTAAAAGGCAAAAATATTAAAATTTCAAAATATTACCTTAATGTTTCCCACAGTGCTGTATCTAGTTTATATTAGCTTACAAGAATGAATGCCTTAGTTTACAATAATTTTGTGAGCCAATTGTTCAATAAACTTTATTAAAATTTAAGTTAAATAGACTTTATAAATATTTATTAGTAATACTCAATATTTATCACTTTATTTTAGTGAAACTATTATCTATCTTCTTGATTATGTACATTTATCATATTTATAGAGGGAACAGCAATGATGAGATGAATATAATTTTCAGCTCTACATCCCATTAAGACATTTAGTCACTTAAAAGTGGCCATAGTACTATAGACAATTTATACCATGAATATCAGAAGACATTACAAATAAGGATTTGACACTGTTCTTGTAATGGATAGAAATGGTAATAATGCAAATTAAAACTTTATTTTGCCTATAGTGATTAAATTATGAACAATTCCCAAAATTAAGGAAATGTTTTTCTTAAGATTTGTTTTTTTAATTTATTTATTTCTAGTGGAAAGTCAGATAAGAGAGGAGGAGAGGCAGAGAGGAAGATCTTTCATCCAATGATTCAGTCCCCGAGTGGCCGCAGTGGCCAGAGCTGAGCAGGTCTGAAGCCAGGAGCCAGGAACTTCTTCCAGGTCTCCTATGCAGGTGCAGGGTCCAAGGCTTTGGGCTATCCTTCACTGCTTTTCTAGGCCACTGGCAGTGAGCTGGATGGGAAGCAGAGTGCTGGTGTTAGAATCAGCGCCCATATGTGATCCTAGCACATGCAAGGTGAATACGTTAGGCACTTTAGGCCAGGCCCAAAATTTATTTATTGGAAAGGCAGATACACAAAGATGAGGAGAGACAGATCTTCCATCTGCTGATTCACATCCCAAGCAGCTGCAACATCCAGAGCTGAGCCAATCTGAAGCCAGGAGCTAGGAGGTTCTTCTGGGTCTCCCACGCAGGTGCAGGATCCCAAGACCTTCAACTATCGTTTACTGCTTTCCCAGGCCACAAGCAGGGAGCTGAAAGGGAAGTGGAGCAGCCAGGACATGAACCGTTGCCCAAATGGGATCCCAGTGCATGCAAGGCAAGGACTTTAGCAATTAGGCTACTATAGCAGGCCTAACATATGCATTCTTTTTGGAGAATTTTGCTTTTATTTTTGAGAACTGATTTTCAAAATATCTTTTTTCCAACTTCCACCCTTCTCTTTAATTAATTCTATGAAAGCTGACCTGTTTCCATTTGAGTATCTAAAACTTTTTATGTACCTAGCAGGCTGCCCATAACTACTTAACAGATGAGTAAATAAATATATCCTTATTTACTTCTTGCTTTCATTACTAAAAATACTTTTATTTGAAAGGTAGAAAGGTCTGAGCCAGGCTGAAGGCAGGAATAGGGAACTTAGTTGGATCTCTCATGTGGGTGGCAGCAACCCAACTGCTTGAATCATCACCTGTTACTTCCTCAGTTGGATGTTAAGAGGAAGCTACATAAAAGTGGAGCTAAGACCCAAACCCCAGCAAACAGATATGGGATGTCGGGCCCGGTACCATGGCTTATTGGCTAAATCTTCACCTTGCAAGCACTGGGATCCACACTGGCACCAGTTCATGTCACAGCTGCTCCACTTACATTCAAGAGTGACCCAAACCCTTGAGACCCTGCATCTGAAAGGGTGACTCAGAAGTTCCTGGCTTCAGATCAGTTCAGCTCCGGCTATAAGGTTCAAGTACATATTCAGAACCAGAGATCCACACAGAATAGATTTCAGCTTAAAACAGACTTTAGTTGCTCCCGGGCAAGGTTCACTGGTTTGATACAGACAGTGGGCCAAAGAAATCACGCCCAGGGGATCTGAGGGGTTATTTTAAATCAGGGAGCTGTAAACGTAAGGGTTGGGACAAAGGAATGTGCCTTATAAGTTGCTAGAGTGTATGTCACTGCTGGTTGAGGAGGCCGAGGAGGGGGCTGCCTTACCCTGGTGCAGCCTTATCAGCCACCCTTCTCAGCCTCCTCCTAGGCTACCCCTCACCCACTCCAGCTGGGCCTTAACCCACTATTACAGCCACTTAGGGAATGAACTAGAGGATGAAAGATACCTGTCTTTCATCTCTGCAGATAAACCTTTCCAATAAGAATCTCCCCCAAGTGGCTCCAACGGCTGGAGCTGAGCCAAGTACAGCCATGCAAATATAGGATCCCAAGGCTTTGGGCCGTCCTTGACTGTTTCCCAGGCCACAAGCAGGAAACTGTATGGGAAGCAGTGTTGCCAGGATTAGAACTAGCACCCATATGGAATCCCAGCATTCAAGGCGAGGACTTTAGTTATTAGGCCATTGCTCTAAATAGATTTAGAATGTGGGGCGACCCCGGGCTGTGGGCTGTGGGCTTGAGAGGTGACCAGAGCCACATAATGTCAGTTATCCGTTCATCTGTCCATGCCAAATGGATTGTGGGGAAGGTGATTGAGACAGAAATGCAGAAAACTGCTAAAGTGAGAGTCACCAGGCTTGTCCTGGATCCTATCCATTAAAGTACTTCAATAAGAGAAAGACCTACTTTGCCCACGATGCCCTTGAGCAGTGCACGGTCGGGGATATTGTGCTCCTGAAAGCTTTACCTGTGCCCCGGACAAAGCACGTGAAGCACAAACTGGCCAAGAAAATTTTCAAAGTGGGAAGGGTGATAGACCCAGTGATGGGGAAGCCCTGTGCGGGCACCGCTTACCTGGAGAGCCTGCTCAGTGAGGAAACCACCCACGTAACCCAAAGCCTGGAAGAACTGCAGACCTCAGCCCCTTGAAGGAGGAACCAGGGGGAGAGACTGACCCCTGGGCTTTGTGGAAATGAGAGCTGCATGCTTTTCATCACAGACCGTCCACTGTCACCTGTAGTATTTATGAAATAGCTAAAAGTGAATGAGGTAAAGGTCTTGCTATAATTTTTTTTGTAAGAGCTTATGATCCAGTTTCAAGTTCTCTTTAAGTAAATATAACTTTCATGTTAAAAAATTTTAAATGTAGGCCTCAGAGGTAGGGTCTTAATCATTGCACCAAAAGCTTCTCCATTTTTATATCTAAAACCTACCACAGGACCTAAAACAGAGTAAGCACTGAATAAAAACATTGACCTGAACTTGAGTCACAGCCTCCTGGTTCTGAAAGCAGTTCCAAGCAATCAAACACAACGAATGAAATAGTTTACTTTTTTAGACACAAAGGAGATAGTCACGTGTTTGATTTTCATGGGACTGATGTAAATGAAGTCACCTAGGCAGTAAGTTCAGGGAGAAAGCCAAATTGCCCACATCCTTCAACAGTGCCTCATTCATTTAACTTTCAGTTTCTCAGGGGCATCATCATTTTCTGTCACTAATGTTACACAGAAGGGCTAGTTACTTCGTGGCTACAACATTTTTTTTTTTTTATTGGAAAGGCGGATATACAGAGAGGAGAGACAGAGAGGAAGATCTTCCGTCCGATGATTCACACGGGTGCAGGGTCCCAAAGCCTTGGGCCGTCCTTGACTGCCTTCCCGGGCCACAGGCAGGGAGCTGGAAGGGAAGCGGGGCTGCCAGGATTAGAACCTGCGCCCATATGGGATCCCGGGCGTGCAAGGCGAGGACTCAACCACTTGCGCCACCGCGCCGGGCCCAGGCTACAACATTTTTACTTATGGTAAGTGACAAGAAATGGAGGAAGAATCCGATAATGTTTTACTTAATGAGCAAGCATTATGCTAGATATAAAGCCCAGATTCAAATCCAGTAGCTTTGTTTCTTTCAATTCTCTATAAGGTTGGAGTTATGCTTGTATGTGTTACAAATGAAAACACTGAATCTTAGGTTTGTGAATTTATCAAAAGTGCCCAATTACTCAATAAAAATATGAGAATTAAAAAGGTGTATTGAGGCAGTTTGAATCGCGGTGCGCCGGAGGAGTCGGTGGTTGGGGTCTCGCCGGGGGGGGGGGGGGGGGGGGGGGGGGGGTCGCATCAGCCCTTTTTCTCTGCCTTGCTTGGTTGAGCTTCCGCAGAATTCGAAATGGCTGGCGTTAAGGCTGGGAAGGACTCCGGAAAGGCCAAGACAAAGGCGGTTTCCCGCTCGCAGAGAGCCGGTTTGCAGTTCCCGGTGGGCCGTATTCACCGACACCTGAAATCCAGGACGACCAGCCACGGACGTGTGGGCGCGACCGCCGCTGTGTACAGCGCAGCCATCCTGGAGTACCTTACCGCAGAGGTACTTGAGCTGGCGGGAAATGCATCAAAAGACTTGAAGGTAAAGCGCATCACCCCGCGTCACTTGCAGCTGGCTATTCGTGGAGATGAAGAGTTGGACTCTCTCATCAAGGCTACCATTGCTGGTGGTGGTGTCATCCCGCACATCCACAAGTCTCTGATCGGGAAGAAAGGACAGCAGAAGACTGTCTAAAGGCTGCCTGGATTCCTTGTTTTCTCAGGACTCTAAATACTCTAACAACTGTCCAGTGTTGGTGATTCCAGTGGACTGTATCTCTGTGAAAAACACGATTTTGCCTTTTTGTAATTCTATTTGAGCAAGTTGGAAGTTTAATTAGCTTTCCAACCAACCAAATTTCTGCATTCAAGTCTTAACCATATTTAAGTGTTAAACTGTGGCTTCAAAGAAGCTATTGATTCTGAAGTAGTGGGTTTTGATTGAGTTGACTGTTTTTAAAAAAAACTGTTTGGGATTTAATTGTGATGCAGAAGTTATAGTAACAAACATTTGGTTTTGTACAGACATTATTTCCACCCAGGTGGATAAGCTCAATAAAGGTCATCTCCCAAAAAAAAAAAAAAAAAAAAGGTGTATTGAGACATTTCCAATATTTGATTGGACAATATTACTTAAACATCAGCTCTTTGCATGCTAGAAGTGGTAGATAATGATATACAATCATTTATTTCCTATTTGTATTGAATCTTTTTTGTTTAGTTTCATTGTAAACATGAATATCCATGAAACTGAGTCGACATGTTATTATATTGCTTCTATATGTATATAGCAAAATCAGTGCATAATTATCAAGATGTAATACATCTGTGGCTGTTTGCTACCTAAAATGAGCCTGAGTATGAGCAGCACACGCACCTGGTGAGGCAAGCAGCTTCCCACAGTGCTGCGGATTTGACTTGAACTGGGCAGGGTCAAGTGTGAGGCTCCTGTCTGTTGGATTGTCTTTGGTTTCCACTCTGAAATAAAACAAAATAAATTAGCCAATTTTACTGAAAGGCAGGTAGGTAAGGGGCCTGACTCATTTCCTCAACCAGTTCCCACTGTACAAAATAAGGTTTACAAAACTTTGTCCAGGGCCCAGCGTGGTGGCACAGTGGTTAAGGTCCTCGCCTTGCACGCCCGGGATCCCATATGGGCGCCAGTTCTAATCCTGGCGGCTCCACTTCCCATCCAGCTCCCTGGCCCGGGAAAGCAAGAGGCTCCTGGCTTCGGATCATCAGCTGTTGTGCTCACTTGGGGAGTGATTCATTGGACGGAAGATCTTCCTCTCTGTATATCTGCCTTTCCAATAAAAATAAAAAAATCTTAAAAAGAAACTTTTTCCAGGGTCACTGAAACATTCCAAACAACAGAATTGGAATTCAACTTGGCACAGGTAATTAAATGCCACCACGGTTAGACAACGGAGGGCTTCCATGTCAACAACAAACTTGGAAAAAAAAAGAAAAACCAAATTGTTGGAAAGCACCTGCAAGCACCTGCAGCAAGAGCCATGCAGGATTCAGAAATGTAAGAAAAGCTTCCTGGCTTTTGTGCTGTCCCAGCTGGAGTTGATAGAATTGTTTCTATTCTTTCCTGTGAGTGTGCTGGGGGAGGAAACACTTGGAAAGTCTTCCTTCGCTTCCGAGTGGGAAGAATAATACAGCATTATCAGAGAAAATGGCAGGAGAAAAGAAATGTCCTGGAACTGCTGTGAAGCTAAAAATCAATTCGTATCTCTTTGAAAGAATCTGGACGTGGTATAGTTGATCTCTGGAATGCTGTCCAGTGCTTTCCAAAGGCAAAAAGAAAAAAAACCTCAGAAATCATAACAGCTTAGACTAAAATGAAAGCTCAGTGTGCTTTCTCAAAGCTAGGAAAATGCTAATGTCTACATTTGATTCAGTTTTCATACATCTCTTCCGCGTGTCTTCAACTTTCTAGCACATATTAAGTCCTATCCTTATCTCAAACATATTTGGGTGCTGTTTCTGATACTCAGGGCCCAGGATCCCAACTATGAGGGCTTCCCTTGAGTCCAGACCTTAAGTAGATCAGAGCTTAGAAATCTTGGTGCTTCTGACATTTCATTTCTTGAAATGAAAAGTTCCCTGGAGAACTGAGAGCTAGGGGAGTCTGTTTTTGTGTGTGTGTGTGTTGAAATCGAGTCTTCCGCAGTAATTACAGCTTCATGATTGAGCTTGTGTTTTCATCTTGCCCTGGACAACTGTGTGGCTAGTAATGAAACAATTTCTGGTTACTGCAGAGTCATCACAAAAGCATGAGATCATTTTTCCTCCTTTCTTGGGACAGAAGAACTAGGAGGACTTTGTATTCAGTTTGGCTAGATACGGGTTTCCTTCCCATAGGTCGAATATCATTTGTAAAATCTAGGTTCTTGGGGATCCACTGAATTGACAAAGGGGAAAGAGTTGCCAATGTTAAGAGTGAAGGAGCAGCAGCAGGGAAATGTGTCCAGAATAGGAAGAAGGGTGGTGGGAGTTCGGCTGAGGAAATGGACTGTCTGCTTCAACAGAGTGGCCAGGGGTCAGAAGGGTGTGGTACTACGTCCCTGACATCGAGCACCTTTCTGTTAGAATAAGGGTGTCAGCTGTCAAATTTGGCCAAAGCAGTAGATGTGATGTCCTTGGCAGAGGCAGCCACCTCTAAACAGATCACATAGAACTGGACAATATACATTTTTGTAAGCAAGTAGCAGATTAAGGATCCTTTATACACCATGTCCCCACATCAGATTTCTAAGATTTATTTTATTCGATAGGTGTAATTCATTTATTTGAAGTTACAGAGGAGGGGGGCAGAGAGAAAGAAGTCTTCTATCTGTTGGTTCACTCCCCATATGGCTGCAATGACTGGGGCTGGGCCAGGCCAAAGTCAGGAATCAGGAGCTTCTTCTAGGTCTCCCACATGGGTGCAGGGACACAAGGACTTACGCCAACATTTGCTGCTTTCCGAGCACATTGGCAGAGTTGGATCAGAAACAGCAGCTAGACTTGAACCTGCACACATATGGAATGCTGGACCTGCAGGCGATAGCTTAACCCATCAAACTTCAATGCTAGTTCCAGGCTTAGAGTTTCTTAAGCATAAAGTAAAAACAATGGGTTAAATTTAATGTAGAAAATTAATGAAATGTGATTTCCTGCATTTGAGTTTATTAATACTGTAGCATCATTATCACAAACTGGATAGCCTAAAACGTCACTCACTAAAACCTTCAGACATCTGTTATGTCATGGTGCTTCCTGAGTTGTGAATCTGGGCATGGCTTTGCTTAGCCTCTGTTTCAGGGTTTCTCACAAGACTTCCAGTGGATGCCAGCCAGGGCTGGGGTCTCCTCTACAGCTCTACTGGGGAAGGATCTTCCAAACTCTCTTGGCTGTTGACTTATCCACTCCCCTACAGGTTGTCCAGTTGAGAAACTCAGCTCCTCCACTGTGCAGTGGAAGCTACCTTTAATTCCTTGTCACAGAAGCCTTTCCGCACGCTGGCTTAGATTGCGCTATCCTGTGAGAATCTGTAAAGTTTGTAGGTAAGGTCAAAACGATGGCCTTGGGCTCTGCAGTCACACTTAGACATCTCGTTACCTTTATCACGCATACTTGATTACAAGCAAATCACAGGTCCTGCCCACACTCAGGCAGAGAGGCTAACACAGAGCATGCATACCAGGAATGGAGGATAAGCGGGGCCATCTTTATACCACAAGCTACAGAATCACATTGCATCTGCTAACATTAAGAAGCTCATTAAAAACACTTAAATAACTTATATAGTTATAGTTACAGTTGTCATATTAGCATTCTTTTTTATCTTTTTTTTTTAAGATATATTTTTATTTGAAAGGTCAATTTACAGAGAAAAGGAAAGGAAAAAGAAACTTTCCACCTACAGCAGCCAGAGCTGGACCGATCTGAGCCCAGGCCATAAGCATAGAGCTGGATCAGAGTGGAACAGCTGGAGCACCAACTTGTGCCCATAAGGGCTGCCAGCACCACAGGCAGAGGCCCAGGCACAGTGCTGGCCCCATTTTTTTTTTTTTTTTTTGCACAGTTTAGTACTTTATTTTCTGTTCATATAGTAGCTATTCAACAAATGTTTTTAAATAAATGATTTTTTCAAAGATTTATTTATTTTTATTGGAAAGGCAGATATAGAGAGGAGGAGAGACGAGAAGATCTTCTGTCCAATGGTTCAGTCCCCAAGTGACCACTGAGCTGGAGCTGAACCAATCCAAAGACAGGAGCCTCTTCCCGGTCTCCCACGCAGGTGCAGGGTCCAAAGGCTTTGGGCTGTCCTCAACTGCTTTCCCAGGCCACAAGCAGGGAGCTGGATGTGAAGCGGGGCTGCCAGGATTACAACCAGCGACAATATGGGATCCCGGCACATTCAAGGCAAGGACTTTAACCACTACACTATCACGCTGGGCCCAATAAATGTTTTTTTTTTTTTTCCAGATAAGCAAAGTAAGGCTTGAGTAGTTGAACATCTTGTCCAAAGTGACATCCTTAGTGTGTGACAGAGCCAGGATTTGTAGCTAGCTTGTTATCTAATACTAAGCCTGTACCCTTAATTCCTAGTTTCCTTCTCATTCAGAATCATAATGATAATAGTAATAAAAGTTACCACCATTTTAAAAATAGGTAACATTGTCTCAGAGTATGAGTAGTTTTCTTCATTCAATAAAATGAGTCATCTAAAATAATTTCTTGGAAAATACTGTGACATGGGGGCAGTTTGACCCTATCATTTCACTTCATCTGATGTTTGATTTTCCTGGGGAGGCTTTCTATGCTGCTGCTTTTTGGATCGGTGTCCTTGAGCCGCCTCTGCCTTCCCCGACACTGGCCTTGTGTCCTACACATGCCATCTCTGCTTCCAACGGGCTGCTCTTCCCGGGCCTCGGCGCGTAATAACAATTTCCTTTGCCCCATCGTCCCACGCTGGCTCCTCTCTGCACTCCATGCTTAGTCCTCCCCCTCCCTGAATACTCAAATTACACTGTTTTTTAGCATACCCTCTCCACCCTCTCTGAAAACCTCCCTTCCTTGCGGTAGACCTCTGACTGTTCTGTTCATATCTTCCTGTAGCCATTATTACTCTGACCCCAAACAAAAACAGCAATGCCTACAAAACATTTCCTCAATAGCTTTACATGAAGCAAAGACAATCACACTGAGGCATTTGACCCAGCTGTATGAGTCCAGGGAA